ATATTCCATATACTACATGAGATGATTGAGAAAGCATGATGAATGTCATGAGATTATGTATATGACGTATATTCCATATACCTTATGAGATGAGTAAGCTGGTATGTAAAGGACATTCCACATACCTAATGCTATGAGTATGAGAACTCTATGAGTGCGATTAATTCCACTTTCACAAGGTGCAAGTGACAACTTCACTCCTATAAGGCACCACAAACATCCAAGGTGCAATAGGACTATACGTTACCGGCCCAAGGTTGATGGAGGAGTTACTATCACAAAGTTTGAGTTTAATGTTAATAGGATGATCATAATGATTATGTTTATAACATGTTGCATATTAATGTTGTTTGAGCATTGTTCATGATCTGTACCCTATGATGACATGGAAATTCCTTTGTGAAGAAGACTAGGCCTTAGAGAAATGTCCCAAGAGGTAGGGGAACTCAAGGAATGGTAAAAATGAAGGATTTTACCCAGAAATTGGGATCTGGATTGAAAATATCTATACATGTGGGTTAAGTATCGATACATTCTAAACAAAAGCTTTTGGAGGCTTTTTGAGTGAAATTTATCAGTACATTTTACTAATGTATCAATAGATGTGTAAAAATATCGATACATTCAAGAATGTATCGATAGTTTCAGTGCAGAATAGGTTGTTTGATTGAATTTGATGAGAATTTCAAACGTAAAGGATTCTTAAAGATCTATATTGACATTATTCATACGAATACTATTCAAAAGTGTTCGACTAACATGTTTTATGAATTCTATGATTAAATTGTTTATGAAAGACATGAGATTGAAACTGCATATTTATGAAATACTCTTATCCCATGGCTTGTCCCCTTCTCGTATCCACTAACAGAGTCTTTGTGACTCACATATTATTTTCCTCATTTATTTTGTTGCATACCAATGATAACGTCTGATAGCAGCTAGTGTTGCAGACACTAGTGTCCAATCTTCATTCTCTGGTAGGTTTCTAGCAGGCACTTAATGCCTTGAGGATTAGTCATGTTCCACTGATGTGTCAGTCTTTTACTTTATGTTTATGTTTATAAACTATGAAAATGTTTATGTTAATGTTGCCAATGTTACGCATTTTAAATTGATAATGTTATCTATGAGATTATGATGACGGCTCAAAAGCTTACATGGACACCCAAGGGTGTTATTGATAGCAAATGTTAATGTGCACCATGATAGTGGCACCTTTCATAGATATATATGTATACCAAATGCTTGAGCTTATACAATTGAGTTGAGAAGTCCCTTAATCATATAATGAGTTTTATGAATGCATGCATGATGCTTTCATGTGTAAATAGATGTTATAAGATGTTTTCGCATGTAATGAGGAATTGTTTAATGAGGTTATCGTAAAAGGCTTGAGTAACGCCCCGTAACCTTATTTAA